TGCAAATGATATGCAAATTAGGCTGCCACAGTGGTTTAAATTCCTGGGGAGAACACTGCTTATATATATGTATGGGGGGAAAACAAAGTTGATTTATTCTGTAAAAGGTGACAAAAGTCAACTTTGGTATTCAAAGTATAAAAACAAACTTTAGTTGAAGCATATACACAAGGCAGAATTTGATACGTTAAAAAACCTGTCAACAAACAAGCTGCTCTCTGATTGGTTCAACTCTTGGGGTGTTAGGGTTGGGTAACCAATCAGGTACAATCTTGTAAGTATTGACTCTAAGAGGAGACTGATAAATAATGCGATTGGTTGTGTTACTATCTTGGTGTTTGTTGATTCCATTTTTTATTACATTCTTAACAGCAATTTTTTTATTCATTATGATTAAAATCGGATGTACACAGAGGGTTCTAGTGGTGGGTAGTATTGCATATCGCAATAAAGTCTTGTAAGATCATCCACCAATCAGAGCTCATGTTACAAACAGCTCACAGTTAATATGTATTTCTAGTAAGCCTGTAAGAGAACACCTAAAATAAATGTGATTTGCAGTGTCGTTTGATGAGATAGAAAGATGATGTATCTTAGAGACCAGAACTGAAAGTGGCTGTGATTATTTAACAACGAATTTGAATCAGATTATATTTTACTTTTTCTTATTTACCTGTTTCATGTCCTCATCTTCCACCACAATAAATGGATGTTGTTCTAAATACTGCAGATGAAGACCTTGACTGCTTTTTTTGTCTATTGAAGGATGTTTTAAAGCATCGTGATGAAGCATCGTTATCATTTCACGTTTTATCAACTCCTCGGCCTGCAATAAAAGTAGACATGTGAGTAAAATGGCAGCAGCATTCAGGGGAGAAGTGATAGTGTGTGTATTTTGTTTTTTGCTTTATTAGAAGTGCATTTCCAATAAAAGTGCACATTAACCAAAAAATGCATTGATTGTATGCTTGATTATTATAGGATGACTTATTTTGGCCATAGAAACACCTCTGAATGAGTAAAAAAATCAACCAAGTGTTCTAGTTGTCACCTGTACAAACGCTAACACATCCATGGAGCTGGAGGAAACGTACCTTTTGAAGATCAGAAAGCGGCTGCTCAATATTAGAAGGTCTCAAGATAGAAATATTGATGTCTGACGGTCTTGGTAACAATCTTTGTATGACTTGTGATTGACGTTTCCATTCCCGTTCTTGTTCTGCAGTTCTCAGGGCTACCTTCCTGTTATCAACATCAGATGCATCTTCTACAAAGTTCTTATCGCCTTCAATTTCAGTTTTATCAGCATCTTCTGATTCTGGTATAACAATTTCAAAATCATTCCTTGGAGCTGGTAAAGATGACAGACCTTTTCTTAACTGTTCTTTCATTTCTCTCTAGGAATACAATTAAAAATTGAAATTTCAAAAAAAGGGAAACTCAAAATCCATTCAAACAACAACATATTATCATTGGTTCATGAGACCATGTGATTATTGTTGACCTTTTACATGCCATACCTACTTCAGCTAAAGTTTTTGTAACCTTTTTGTATTTTTCCATGCATTTCTTAACTAACTTCTAAACAAATAGACAGACACTCTGAATCAAAAATTGTGAAAATAAAAACAAAATTTAAAATTGGTTTTCAAAAGATTGAAAGAGTTAGCAGTTTTTTTCACCAATAAATAATTAGAGTACTCGAGAAGAAATAGTTATGCAAAAGTTACTAAGCCACGCTGTCTAAAGGACTCAAGCAAGGTTCACCACTGCTAGAACTTTCATTGAATCACAAATTGAAGTATTAATGCTTCTTTACCTGTAGGTGTTTAGCATATCTAACGTCATCTATTTCACCAAGTTGTTCTTCAGGATTGATATTCAGCTTATCCCTGACTGGTGTCCTACCAGGTGTCTGTCCTGGCGTGACAGCCACAGGTACCAATGCTTTAGGTGTCATGGCTTTTGGTGTCATACCTATTCAATGAAAACATATTTTGTATGTAACTCGTTTATCTGGATTCAGTAAAAAATAAATCCCATGCAACAAACAATGGAATAAAGTATTCACTACAGGATTCAGGTTGTTGGTTTTGAACTACCGGTATGTAACATTATGAAGCATGGAACAGTTACGCTTCCACACCAATGTGGAAACTATTGGTCGATATAGCACAAGGGGAACATACTGTCATCCATTGTTTGAAAAATTTACATTTAAATTAGCTGCATGCTATATTAACGTCACGGCCAGCTACTGACCATTGAGAAAAGATCTTTGTTGAAAGTTGAGAAGCCTGTAAGAAGTGTGTATGAATGCTAATGTAAAGTAATTTATTTTCGCTTGGAACGAATGATTCAGTAAAAATAAAATCCAGTAAATATACCCTTTTCCCAAATTTTACATTCAACTTGTCAAAAATAAGTGAAAATAAATACCATACAAAACAACCAAAAAATCCTTTCGGTGAAATATAATTCAAGCTAAAATAAAGTATTTTACAGTAGTCAGGTATACTCTGTCAATTATAAAACATTGCACACATTATCAAAACTTTCAAGGATACCAAGTGTGGAGTACATTTTTAGGGGTGCCAAACTTCCGTCAGCCTAGGGAGTACAGTTTCCTCACACTCCTAATGCCAGTAATGGTAATATGTGCTAAAATTGATCATAAGTTTTTGTTGTTGTTGGAGAGATCGGGGGTCCATGATGAAAATTTTGACAATTTTAGGGAGACTTGTATCAATTCACTGAAATTAAGAATAATGTTGTTAACACCTGTTAACTTACCTTCTCCATGTGAAGGTGTTCTAAATGGTGTTGTAAAAGCAGTGTTTGGTGTTGCAGTAGCTTGTCTTTTTGGTGTAATTCCGTCAAAATCACTTTCATGAAGCGGTGTGTTCAGTCCACCTTTCAATGGAGTGTCCACATTCTGTAACGCCATAATATTCTGTGCTTCCTGTTGATCAAAAAATTAAGCATTTAGTCAATCATCAGTTACACTATATGTAAAAATGTTTATATAAAATGGTTTATTAATGTTTGAGTTTTTCTAGTGCTTCAGACATTTACGAAAATTGTTATAACTACTGTATACGCATTATTTGTTACTGTGTTCACTATTTTGCTCAAATCCACTGGACTTAAATTCAGATTTTTAAGTAAAACAATATTTTCTACTGTCAGGTTACATTACATTTAGGATATTTCCCTTTCCAGGGAGCATAGCGAAATTAAAAACCAGGGACTAATCAATAGACACAGTGCTTGTTTATGTTGTTATATGCATTCACATCTGTTATCTACAGAGGTCTTCAGCT